CAATGTCTTTGTATTCTTCCTGGGTTGCCGTGTAATTTAGCTGAATTCTGTAGCTTGCCAGGCTTTGAATCTACTGTGCTATATATCTGACTCGCCATTTTATTCATTACACTGAATTCTTTTAATTGACATAAAGGAAGAGTAAATTTTAAAAAGTAAATCTCAAGTTGTGTACATTCCGTTAAATTACTAGAACTTGCCATTCCACCCTATCTCCACCAGATGGCAAAACGAAATCATTAGACCAGCAAAGACGATTCCCTTAATTCTGAGCATTAAGGCAGATGACTTAAACCCTGATTTAATTTTTTTTAATGAATCAAAACATTCTTCAGCTATTTCTTTTCGAAGGCATTTAAAATAACTCTCCAAATGCTTTTTCATAGTATAAGTACCAAGCTTCTCCCTGTTCCAAACTCTTCTCTACTGTCCTTTTTCCTCCCTTCCTCTTTTCGTCTATGAGTGAATTTGGTTCTGAAATCTCTTACTATACTCAGACTAACTGAGCAGTATTATAAAACTTTTAAAGGTACAGAATTGGTGTCTCCAATATTCTTTCTTTCAGTTTCACTCTGTTTTCTTTTCCAGATGGTTCTTTCAACTATTTTTTTTCCAAGAAAAGAGTTATCTTCCCTTTTGTTCTCCTTTTGATGCTTGGTCCTGTTCATCTCAGCAGTGACCAACAACATTCCTACGTGACAGTCATCTGTATATTATTTCACCTCGACTGCTTCCCAAGCTGTCGTCTCTTACCCTTCTTCTGATGCAACTTTGTCAACCATCCTGCCTGTGCTGTCTCCTCTCCTTTCCCGCCAGTCTGAGCAGCACACAGGTACTTCTGCTCCTGCCTTTTCCCATTTTCCCTCTCCAGAGACTGGGAAAAGCAAGGAGATCACCTAACAACTTACCTAATTAAAGACTTCTGCTCTGACACCGACTTTGAGAAAATCTGGGCAAAGAGACTGCAAGAAAGGGATTTCTCGAGTCTATTACCAGTCTGAAGTCACAGATACTCAATTGGATTACAAGTTTCAAGCAGCAAAATATTATTCACAGAAGTCAGAGACCTATTCAAGCCCGTTCTGGGCTTGAATTCAGGTCTCTTCTTTCCCCAGGTGAGTACTTAGATGTTAGTTTTGCATATCGTATCATGATAATGCACCTATTCTTCTGTCAAATAAAGTGCTACCCATAGAACTTAAAAGTTTTTAATTTAAATTGAATTGCGTCACTGGGAAGCACCAGGGTACACTAGCCAAATCATTGCCAAAAATTGCCTGGGCTGTGTTTTTGACAAAAAGACCTTCATAAACTGCCCAAATTTGGCTTATTCTCATATATATTAAAAATAAAACCCCCCTATGCCTGGATTTAATCTTCTGTGAGCTTGACACAGTTGGAATAAAACTAAGTGTGGTTCTGAGGCAGCACTGGATAACTCAGGGGAGTTTGTCCACATTTGTTGCTGTCTTCTACTTTTAGTTGAATCTGGGTTTGAGATTTTGATCTTTTAAATCCAGATTTTCAACTGTGGAAGCCGTGAAATCACTTCATTTACATTAAGACATTGAAGGGCTTTTCAGCTCCCTGCCACAGTGTGTGGCAAAAAGTGGTTCTTCAGTATTCCCAGTCTACTCTATCTCTATGATGGAGGTGGAGCAGTACAGTAGATATGTGTGCTGGGTTGACCTTGGCTGGCCACCAGGTGCCCACCCAGCTGCTCTCTCACTCTGCCTCCTCAGCAGGACAGAGGAAGAAAATAAGATGAAAAAGCTCATGGGTCAAGATAAAGACAGGGAGATCGCTCACCGATCACCATCATGGGCAAAACAGACCCAACTTGAGGAAATTAATTTCATTTATCACCAATTAAAATACAGTAGGATAGTGACAAACAAAACCAAAACTACAGACACCTTCTCTCCACCCTTCCCTTCTTCCCAGGCTCAGCTTCACTCGTGGCTCTTCCATCTCTCCATCCTAAGTGCACAGTGGGATGGGGAATGGGGGTTGTGGTCAGTTCGTAACGCTTTGCCTCTGGCACTTCTTCCTCCTCATGCTGTTCCCCTGCACCAGTGTGGGGTCCCACCCACAGAATACAGTCCTTCCACAGATTTCTCCAGCATGGGTCCTTTCCATGGGGTAAAGTCCTTCAAGAAAAGACTGCTACAGTGTGGGTCCTCCATGGGGTCACAGATCCTGCCAGAACACCTGCTCCTGCATGGGCTCCTCTTCACAGGCCGTAGCTCCCACCAGAAGCCTGCTCCTGCATGGGCTCTCCATGGACTGCAGCAGGACAACCTGCTTCACCATGGTCTTCTCCACCAGCTGACAGGGAATCTCATCTTTGGTGCCCAGAGCACCTCCTCCCCCTCCTTCTTCTCTCACCTTGGTGTCACAGGGCTGTTTCTCACATTTTTTTCCTCACTCCTCACTGCCAGGCAGTGTTTTGCCCTTTCTTAACTTTGTTTTCCCAGAGGCACCACCACCTTGGCCATGTGGGTCAGCTGTGCCCTGCGGTGGGTAGGTTGGAGCTGGAACCGGCCGTGTCCGGCACGGGGCAGCCCCGGCCTCTCCTCACAGAGGCCGCCCTGCAGTTCCCATTGCCAGCCCCTGGGCACCTGCACCCAGCACATTATGTCAGTATAAAGTGTCCTGCACAAAAGGAAATGTCTTGAGAGAATCTGAGAATGGTTACAGCTAATGGATGTCATCCGTGAAATGGTAAAGGCATGAGTCTTGCAAGAGAATTTAACTAAAATAACCGCTGAACTTTACACAGTTGTATTTTTCAAGAGAAAACAGGTTGAGAAATATTTTTTACCAATATATATCGTCAGTCTTGAATTTTAAGAAACGTTTGGTTTTTTATATCTTTAATAAACCCAGGAAGATTAACAAGAACTGTGTTTCTGCACTTACTGAACGGGCACTACTAGAAGAGCGGATGGGAAGTTATGTAATGGGTCCAGTAGCTACCACGACGTTTCTCAGGTTTATAGGAATAAACAATGATTTCTATTATAAATGGATTTTTATGCCATCAGAGGTTGGTGGAGATAAAGTATTACAATTTCAAAAAGCTTTTTGAGTTGAATCCTCAAGTATGGCTGAAAGGATTAACTACTTTAATCTTCTTCTTAAATATATACATACATATATTCATACATACATATCACATAGGAAAATTACACGTATCACTACGCAGGCTTGGAGAATGAAGTATCTCCCATGTCCTCAGTAGGGCATTGCTTGTACACCAAGAACGTTGAGGTTGTCACTGTGTGAAAATTTCTGACAATATATTGCTGAAATTGGTTTATAACTGAATAGAAAGATTCTTTTAGCCCTACTTAAGAAATGCCATGTATTAATAACAGCAATAAATCAAGCACTTAATCTTACTGTCTAATGAGAGTCTACACAACAGGAGAAAACTGGGATTCTAGGTTCCACAACACAAAATAATTTTTCAGTTATGTACTTGAGTAGACCCACTCTTGTAATTTCTCTTACGTCGTTTAAAGGGATTTCAAATATTATTTGACTACAAGAACTTTGCAATATTAAACATGAAATACATAAACCTATTTCCTCTTGGGGATTTAGGCATTCATATTACAGTTTTTACATCTCAACATTTAAGTTTAATGATTCCTAGATCTTTTTATTTACCTCCTCTTAAAATTGAGGTGAAAATATAAATGCTTCTCTAATGTTCTACATTAAACAAATCCTATAATTGCATTTGTGTGCGTATATATACATGTGCGTACTGTTTTGGTCATATAATCTTCACAAGCTTCCCTGAGGTTTTAAGTAAAACAGAGAACAGAATCTGGCTTCTGGGATTCTCTCCATCTATCGCTTTCTCAGTAGACTACATGAAATTAATTTGGTGACCTCACTTCAGCCTCTGTTGGAAAAGCATCCACATTACACAACAAAGAACCAAACGGGTTTGTAAAACAAAATCCTGTTACAGTCCCTGAAAACGCAGCTTTGTTTAAGTCTGAAACACATTTAAAGGGCAGTGCAAGAAAGCTTGAATTGACGTGATCTCCACTGAACGTTTGGTCAAAACAAGCATTTAATTTTCCCCTCCATTTAATCTGACATGTTTTATGATTGCTAGTTTTTTTCTCTGAAGTGATAGATTTATGAGTAATAATACAGCATGCTACTTTCTACACAATTTAAAATGAGTATCTTCACACTAGAATGAATCTTTTACTGAAAACTGTCTTTCAACCTGTGAAGAGAGGAATGACTATTCAATAAATACCTGCTTCATGAATTTCTTCTTGTCCAGTGTAAGAGGAAAACACTTGCCCAAAGAATTTATATTGTTGCTCTCGAAAGTTGTTTTGCAGGTAGTCCATCAGCATAACATAGCCAGACTGCTGCATTGTAAGGACTTCACAGAATACAGCTAACTAGAAAAGGTGAGGAAAAAAAGATGTCAGAAGTCATAGCAAATTAACCAGATTCTGCTAACAGGCAAAAAACCTGGGGAAAAGATGTTGGGTAAAGCCTCCCAGTTGACCTCTCACAGGTGGCACTGAACTTTTGTTCCTCTGTACCAGCAGTAATCTGAAGGTTTACTCCACCTGTATTTCTCAACCACTCTGTTGTTGGAGCTACGCTTTGCCCAGTCACCACCATTTAGCTGGGGGAATATGGAAAAAGTCTTTTGAACTCCTCTTTATCTGGGTTAGAAGTTCAGACAGGCTGCAGAGTTAGGAATTGTGTCCTTACTCCCTTCTAAGACAAGAAATGACTAAGAATGTAGTCCTGAACTGAAAAAGGGGAAAGATAACACACTGAAGTAATATATATGCTTTCTGATTTAATGGCTGCATGAAAAATTTATAACTAGATAAAAGAAAAGCTAGGTTGTTGGGCTGGCAACGAATGCCACGAGCTTCTGCCATACACATGGCAACTGCTTTTCTTTGGTATTATGTAAAATTGTTTGGTTTTAATACATTAAACAAATTACCTGGTCTTCAGAAATACTTATGGTATCCTTAAACACAATCCATTCAACCGTTTCAGAGCAGGGAGGAGTTGATAAAGACCCATTGTAAGTGTAATATTTGTCTGTTGCATTCGGCAAAAGGTTCAGCAAAATAAATGGTTCTAAGGCAGCCTGTTTTCCTGAAAAAAGAAAAAAATTTAGAGTCAGATAGTTACATGACTGCAGAAACAATGAATAAATAGAAATCACACTCTCCAAAAGAGTTACCATTATAGGAATAAGCTAATTTTTAGGGTATTTGAAATTTGATCTCCAGAGAGACTAGCATATGAATAAATTGCTGAGGCTTTTCTATTTAGTTTGAATAAGCGTTGGTCAAAACCAACTTTGGTTACTTGGGAAGGTATAATGAGTTACTCCAGTAATAAATAATCAGTGCAACGGTTCACAAGAATTTGTGCACCTGTAAGTTTACTCGTAAATGTCCAAGATGCCAAAACTTTTGTCTCACACGTGAACTTTGAAGAAAAAATATGTTAACTCTCTGTTCTTGGTCTCATAACATGGCTTCAAACTCTCCCTGAATTTGGTGAAGTTGTTGAGTTTCTCACAGGATCTTAACCTCTGCAGAAAATCACTGCCTGGGGAACTGTCGCCATGTTAGACCTGAGAGCTGTATTGATCATGACCGCAAAAGCAGAATTTCCGTGGATCAGGGGTTTTTAAAATGGTGATAATACAGCAAAAAACTCTAACAGCTTTACACAAAGCAGAAAAGGATGCAAAGATCTCATCCAGAAGAGTATGAACACTCTGTTTATTGTCCTGTGAAAATAATATCACGTCATTCAGGTCAGCAGTTTACCCGGTACCTTGTCAGCGGAGAGCATGCAGGAGGAATTGCTGGGAGTTCATCCACAGAAAGGTAAGTTCGTGCTGGTATTGCACTAGGGTCCAGCAACAGAAATTGGCAGAAATGGTACCAACTTCCTCAAGACAGATTTTTTCAGTCTGTGACAATTATCAATCTTGTGACAATTACCTGCCTTATTGTCTGCTTCATCCAAAATAATATTTGTTTTTTACACCTTGAAATAATGTAGGTCCTTATATACCTTATTTCAATCTAAAGTCACTGATTGTTAAACTTCTCCCTATTTGATAAGTGTTCACTTATGAATATCTAATGAATTTTCAGACTGTGCATTAACTTGTGGTTTTACAGATACATTACTTCTTGAGCCCTGTACAGTTTTCTGACCTTTGTCTTCACAATTCCTTACAAATTTGGTGAAAGTAGCAAGTTACATTAACAGTTTACTACAAATCACTGATGCTTTTCTTCTGTACAGTGACTGTTCCACTGAGTTAAGGTTTAAGAGCTGGCTCCTCCCCTCTCTCTTATCCATGTGTCATGAAAGGGAAACATTTAGCCATGCCATTTAACATGAGCAAAGCACATCCTTCTATTTCTCCTGTCAACATGTTAATCAGCTTTCAGACAGAAGCTGTCATTGCTATCTGGTACATGTCTCGTTAATGCATTCTTCCTTCAGGAAAAATGAATGGCCAGTCCATCTTATATAGATGCTTGGGGACACAAAGCTTCTCATTTATAGTAGGAATCCTGCCATACTTTTCGCAATTTTGCATTTTAAAATGCCCTTTAATGTGATTGACCGCCTAGATTCTAAAATCAAACACTTACAAAGAATGATGAGAAACAGAGAGTTTGTCCGGAAGAAACAGGACTGCTCCTCTGCAGAGCTCAAGAACTCAGTAACTGGGATTCAAATAAGGACAAAACAGATATGACTGACAAGGACAGATCATGTACATTGCAGACAAGGACAGATCGTGTGCTATTCACTTTTCTTCGGAAGGAACAATTTGATTTAGTCATGACCTGAATTTTCAGAGCTCATTTGCATTTTATTCAAGAAAATGATAGTCTACTTATTGTTGAAGTGCCATGTAGCGGTCGTATCTTGAATCTTGCTGCTGATAGTTTTACAGCTCCTTCCAAGGCTGTAGGACAGCATCTGCCTTGATGTATTACTCATTCTCCTTTGTGTTTCATAGAAGATGGCACACAAAGATAATGAATCTTAACTGCTTTATATTTCCCCCTCCTCTGTCTTTGCAATTTATGAAAGTTGCTCCCTTTTATATTTGTTGAATGGCGTTTGTTTTCTGGAGAAAAACAATCTTGATTTTAGTGTCATACTTTTGAAAGCTTTTAAATTTGCGGACTAATAGCTTTTTACACTTTCAATCTACTGATCTCAAGGAGCTTTACAAAGCTCAGGTATCACTGCATATAGGAAAACTGAGACAAAGTTAGCCATTTACTTAAGGTCATGGCCATGATGTAAGAAAATATCCCTGTTCAAGACAGTGCTCATTCGTGTTTGTTCTTCTGCAAAGCCGTCGTGAAACTGAGTTAGAAACGGAACCCAGATCTCCTCAAGCACTGCCCTGAAGTCCACGTGCTCTGACATAAAACCATGAGGAATTCTAAAATATCAAAGTGTCAACATTTGGTTTGAATAATGCTAGTACAAATATAATATAATTGGATTATTTCAGATTTACACAGGAGCTACTGAAAAAAAGAATTCACCTCCACTGAGTCTACTGAATACTGACACTCATATGGTCTCACACTTGTAAGGCACATCTTGGATGGCTGCAACAGGGTTATTTGGCTTCCAACCACATACAAAAATCCAGAAATGTATGACTAAGAAAACTCACAGAATAAATCAGGCATTTCTCTTGATTTATCATTTAAAGAGTTGCAAATTTGTCATGATAGTTATATTTATTCATTTACACTTACCGCTGCTGTTACACATACTCAGTATTGGAGTAAATAAATCATAGAATCATATAATATCTCAACTTGGAAGGGACCCATAAAGATCATCAAGTCCAACTCCCTGCTCCTCGCAGGACTACCTAGAACTAAACCATATGACTAAAAGCATTGTCCAAACGCTCCTCAAACTCTCAGAGGCTTGATGCTGTGCTCCAGGCGCTCCTTCCTTGAGAAGCCTGTTCCAGTGACTGACCACCATCTCAGTGAAGAATCTTTTCCTAATGTTCCATCTGAACTTCCCCTGACACAGCTTCATTCCATTTCCTTGTGTCCCATCGCTGGTCACCAGAGGAGATCAGCACCTCCCTCTCCGCTATCTCCCTTGAGGACATTGTAGGCTGCGATGAGGTCACCCCTCAGCCTTCTTTTCTCCAAGCTGAACAAACCAAGTGACCTCAGCTACTCCTCATAAGTCTTGTTCTCAAGACCTTTTACCATCTCGGTCACCCTCCTCTGGACACACTCTAAAAGTCTGATGTCCTTCTTATACTGAGGTACCCAAAACTGCACTCAGTATTCGAGGTGAGGTCGCACCAGCGCAGTGTAGAGTGGGACAATCCCCTCCCTTGACCAGTTAACTATGCTGTGCTTGATGCACCCCAGGACACAGTTGGCCCTTTTGGCTGCCAGGGCAAGCTGTTGACACATATTCAACTTGCCATCAACCCAGACCCCCAGATCTCTTTCCGTGGGGCTGCTCTCCAGCCTCTTGTCCCCCAATTTGTACATATAGCCAGGATTACCCTATCCCAGGTGCAGAATCCAGCACTTGCTCTTGTTGAATTTCATATATTTAGTGATTGCTCAGCTTTCTAGTCTATTCAGATGACTTCTGCTGTTTCTAACAAAATAGACATGGCTAAGCTCTAGAGAACCGTGCTCCCCAATGCCTTTAAGGTTTCATAATTATACTGAAAGGGAATATAGTCTAATCAGTAATCAATAAAACATGGAGGTAGACTTACCGAAACGACTAACACTATCTACTCCATTAATGATTGTATTATAATCCGGATTATCTTCTAGTCCAATCTGTTAAAAAGAAATTGTATTTTTTTAACAGCACAGGCTTCATGAAAAAAAAATGAAAGCTGCAGTTTACTGCAAAAATTATAGATGCCTTAAAGCAGAGCAAATGTATTTTGCCCATTTGCTTTTCTGTAAGAATAAATTAGAAAGATATATGCAAATTTTTAACTTGGTGATCACACATTGGAACCAGTTAAATTCAGTTTGAACATCTGCCGTGTTTCAAAGCTTGTTTAATGACACAAAGATATATTTTGTTTACCTCAAACAAAATTGATAAAGCTCTTAACTTTCCATTTCCTTTAATTGCCTCTTCGAAATTTGTAAACTGATCTGCATCATAGCAGTAAATTTGCATCTGCAAATAAAAATACATTAAAATGTTAGATATATCAAAAATAATCAATCAATGCAGTTATTTATATTCTCATTTTGAGAAAAAATGTCCAAGCAATACATTTAATTACAAATATATCGTTTTTTTATCTATCTTGCATGCATTATCTGAAGACATAGAATGGAATTCATCAGCTGTTAGCTATCTACAAGTGACCTCTCCTGGAAAACCACTAAGTGTGCAGGAGTTCCTTTCAAGGAGCACAACGCTTTCCATGAATAATGCAGTAAACCGAGGTAACCTGCTGATACTGGACATCTAACCTAGAGTACTCAGGCGAGATGAATCTTGAAATCAGTGGTAAAACGCGAATAATAAGGCAGGATGTCCCTACTGCATCTGCCTTGCAGTAAGTGTAGAGAAACATTGGTAATAAAAGATTCCCAGGTATTCGACTGCTGTCGTGGGCATTGGGTTTGTTGCACCCCTTCCTCTCTTTCTCTGGATGCAGTTGGGAAATCTCCTCCAGTGCTGGGTCACCAACATGTGAGGAGTGTCCCGTTCCTACTAGCTTTTCCTGTGATGATGATGGAGGAGAATATTCTCTTCGATGCCTTGGCAGAACAGGTGGAGTGTGAGTGGGAATTTTTAAATGGCTAATGAGGTAAAGGAAATGACACTGCTCAGGGAAAGCTCCTGGCCCACAGCTCTCCATGGAGTATAGGACAAACTTGGCTCTATTGCTTTGCTCTGATATAGAAGTCCAAACCGCTTGGAGTGAGGAGCAGCAGGAGTAATTTGTATTTAAGTGAATGATTATATTTGCAAATAGACTTTAATCAAGTGATAAACAAAGGTATTTAGTAAACAGTATTACTTTTTGCAGAATGTCAAATCATCATAATTGTCAAAATCTATTCCATACTTTACCTCAAGAGGAAATTTTTGTCCTTCTAAACTATGTTCTGACCCATCTGACGACACGTTGCATTTTCCCCAGTGAAAAGTGATCTTGCTTGCTTTGAATACGGTGTCTAAGCCACCTCCACTTACATAATAATCATTTGTCAAGTTAATTTCCACTGAACAAAGAGAGAGAGAGGGGGAAAAAGGGAGTGTCAATGTAAAAGCCAGCCAAGGCATCTACGACTCTCATATTTCAGTATTAGGTGCTAAAAGGTAAACATGACACGCCTTTTCCCCTGTATTTCATAAGAAATGTGACAGGAAATTGGTTATTTAAACAAAGTAAGAAGTGTGGTAATTCACTATTAGCATGGAGAAATATATTTCATTTAATACTGCAATTCATAAAATAGTCATCTAGTGAAGTGCACTATTATATTGGTCTCCTGTTGTCTGTAACTACCCACAGAAGTATGCTGAAAAGCTCAGAATACTGGCTTAGCCACCCATCTGACCATCTAAGAAAAGAAATTCCTGAAAGCACCCGTGTTTTTAACAAAAAGGAAAATACCCCTCCACCATTATTATCATAATTCTAGATACAAATCATGAGGTAACACATGAAAAGAAAATTTTAGCCCATTCCTAGAGGACTGTCCTGTCTGTGAGACCCCTTAACTATAGAGCAATCTCACACAGGAGAAGGTGATGTGCACAACTGTGCACAAACTGTAGAAGGGACTGAGGATTTGTCTTCTAGAGGGAATGAGCAGGGTGGAATAGACTGAAGCCTCACATTTGGCTTTCGCACCTCCAGCGATTGTGAATTCTTTGACCTCTTGCTAAAACAGCACTAACGGAGTTCAGTTTCATTACATTCCTTTCCTCAAGACCTTGAAGACAATTTTAACTGCAGAGCTTACCAGTTCCTTTTATAATCTCTGAATTGCTGTAGATGAGGAAGAGCTCAGTTCACTTTTATGGGCTTTAAAGAATGTTTCCTCAGGGATGTCTTGGAAAGACAAATGCACTATTTATCTCATCTAGCAGGGCAAGAGGGAAGTAAGTAATTTGTGGAGTAGTGTGTAGAAGTACATGATGGTGCCAATAAGAGAAATAAGGAGCAAGGACAACAACAAAAAAACCCCAAACAACAAAACAACACGAAACAAACAAAAAAAAAATTAAATGAAATAAAACAAAATGGTTGGTCTAGGGGTCCCACTGGAACTGACAGAAGGTCAAAGACAGTTGTTAAGAGATTCCTTCCTCCATACTTACGCCCGAAACAAGAAACAGTACTTCCAACAAACAGCTTTTAGCTACTGCTCTCCTGGATTTATACAGGAAAGTGGTTGCAAAAAGATTTGTCCAACAATGTAAATGTCACCATAAGCTTCTTTTATAGCAGGGAGAAATAGGCACTTGTAGGCATAAATCACTCCTTTCTAAAATACATTTCTAAGATAGGTAAGACAAATCGGACCATAAAAGCACCTATTTCTCTTCTTTGACTGTAAGAAGCCGTCTAAGTGAGTAATTCAGGCACAAGTGCCTACATTATAGGCATCTATGTGTAGGTGAGATAAATCCCATCCTGAGTTTTTTGAAATCACTACTCATCCATGAAGTGCTTCCAGATGAGTACGCAATTTATTCATACTTTTAAAAAATCATTTTTGTATACTTGTTACAGATTCCAGATACGTAGTAATAATTATCATTATTTCATAGCAAATGCTAAATTACTGTTTAGCTTCAATGAAGTGCTGATGATGGAACGATAGTAATGATGCAATTACTTTGGTTCTATCTGTCTGTGCACATAATTTTCATTTGTGTTTTAGTGATTTCTCTGTTACGCTTGGCTATTGTCATCACCTGTTTCTTTTATTTAATGGATAAATTCAGAAAGCACACGCTAAGGAAAAGCAAAATGAAAATGTTTCATTAAAAGTCCTTGGTTGATTGTCCATCCTATATCACTTTTCTGACCTCATTTACCTCCAAACATGAAATCTGACTTTTTACCTGTTTTGCCTGTGTTGCGAATGAACGTATCTTCCAAAGTTTCCTTTTCCCATCCATGGAATTTAAGTTTCTTCAGATTCACATTTACTTGGGTGAGATCTTCATCTATATTAATAGGAGACTGTTTGGCACCATTGCAGGCTGAGTATTTCTTTCCCCAGTTCTTTTGGTTCAAAGTTCCTAGAAATCAAAACATTTGGGGTAAATACATTTAAAATCTAATCTGGCATCGATGTATTTTTTAATGTGGGAAAGTTAAAACACAGTTTGCAATCTGTCATCAGAGTACCCGCCCTTCTTTTAGGCCTCATCTGTAGCAATACTTAGCACACTTACCACTGTATCCTACCTTCAACAGTGAAGTCACTTTTTGACCATTTTAGACATCATACATACATGCTTATGAATCTCTAGGGAAAGCAGAAAACAACAGAAAAAACCCCTCAAACACAATATACAGAAATAATAACTAAAACAGGTGAGGAAAAAAAGCTTTCAGGTGAAAGAAATTTGCACTCAAAAAAACTTTGGAATTACTGCAAAACCCTCCTTTCCAAATAACTCTTTTAGTCCTAAGAATGTCATTATTGTTGCTTCTGCCCAATGAGGTCAGCCATCCAATAAGTTTTTAAATAAATAAAAGTAATAAAAAAATCCTTGCATAGAGGGAAAAAGGTAAAGTGTTTCTAGCTGGAAAAAGGTTAGTGATGCTCTGGCTGGAGAGCCTGGCTGTATGGGCTGTGTTGGCTTTGGTTGGGGCAAAGTTAATTTTCTTCACAGTAGTTGGTATG